GGAGGAGGAGGAGGAGGAGGAGGAGGAGGAGGAGGAGGAGGAGGAGGCGTGGTTTGAGAGAATTTAAGAGAAAAGGGCAGGGTATGAGGCTATGAAAAATGAGGTTGAGCCTCCTTTGAGTCTAAGTGAGGCTGTGAGTGTGGAGGTGGGGGTCTCTGTGAGAGAGGAGGCGGGGTCTGAGAGAGGCTTGGAGTACGGAGGCGGGGTCTGAGTGAGGCTGAGGTTGAGGAGGCGGGGCCTGAGAGCGGGGAAAATGAGAAGGCGGGGTCTGAGTGAGGCTGAGGTTGAGGAGGAGGGGCCTGAGTGCGGGGAGGGTGAGGAGGCAGGGCCTGAGTGTGAGGAGGCGGAGCCTGAATGAGGCTGATGATGAAGAGGCGGGGCCTGAGTGCGGCTGAGGTTGAGGAGGAGGGGCCTGAGTGCGGGGAGAATGAGGAGGCGGGGCCTGAGTGCGGGGAGAATGAGGAGGCGGGGCCTGAGAGGCTGGTTGTAAGGAGGCGGGGGTCTGAGGTCGGCAGTTCCAGGATGAGGCGTGTGTTTCGGGAGCTGTCGGGTGGGCGGGCTGTTTTAAGGATAGGCGGGGCGCAGGGGCGGAGGGCGGGGACAGAGCGCTGAGGACCCTGTCTGGGCTCAGTCCGCGAGGAGGGCTGCCGCCCTGGGCCGGGGCTCTTCCTCACGCCTGGGGCGGAGGCGAGGACGCCGGGCCGGGAAGCCGCGGTGGGATGCGGCTGACGCGGACGCGGCTGTGCTCGCTCCTCGTCGCCCTGTACTGCCTCTTCTCCATCTACGCCGCCTACCACGTCTTCTTCGGGCGCCGCCGCCGGCCGCCGGGCACGACCTCTCGGGGCTCCAGGAAGGCGGCGGCGCAGGGGAAGGAGAGGCGCGGCCGAGGTAGGACGGGAGCGGGACGGGGCAGCGGCCTAGCGGCCCTGCGGTGTGCGTGGACGCGGGGCGGCAGGCGCCGCGCGGAGGAGACAGGCGGGCCTCGGTCCCGGGCTCGGGATCCTCAGCCCGGGAGGCAGCTCTGGGCTCTGCTCGGAGGCTCTGCTCACCATGGGCGAGCTTCCTGCAATCGTGGTCACCCGGGGCTGGCGGCCTGCACGCAGGCCTTTAAAACGTGGAGTGGACCCTCGGCGTGCCTCGGAGGCCGGAGATCTGGAGAAATGCTGCGGGCTGAGTTTAAAGCGTCTGGTCCCAGATTAAACAGGGTCCTTTCTAACCACGTGACTTAGGAAGGCCCTGATTTATATTTACAGCAGCGAGTCCCCTCTGGTATTTGTGACTTGTTTTGGAATTGCAGTCCTTTTCTACTCCCCTGCAGATTGGTTGGGTTTTTTCTTTTTTCTTTTTCTTTTTTTTTTTTTTTTTTGCACAGTTTGATGGAGACAGTGGACTAAAGATTCACCTACTAATAAGTCACTTTTATAAAACCGGAAAACAACTCCAGAACTAAAGCACATGACTTGATATATGTTCTGTAGGTTCTAAAGGTTTATGGAAGAAGACATACTTCTCTTATCTAATGTTAAATTTTTTAAAATCTTTGACAGAGATGGTTCAGTTAAAAAAATGTTGGCTTATTTTCTTTTTTTTCAGTCATAATGCCTCAAATTCTATTGTTTGTCTCTGAAACCTGAAGAGAAGATGAAATTAGCATCTCATTCAAATGACTTGACTTTATATCTGCCTTTGGTCCTCACTGGTAAATGCAGTCACTCTCTTTAAAACAGAGCAGTCCGCTTTGGAGAGTGAAGAATGGAACCCTTGGGAAGGAGATGAAAAGAACGAGCGGCAACACAAAATTAAAGCTAGCCTGCAAATCGTAAACAAATCCACAAAAGAAAAAATAGAGCACAGAGTGCAAATCTGGGGCAAAGCTGCCATTGGTAAGTGACTGTAACGAGGAAAAGCATGCAGAGTGTGTGAATTGTGTGCTGTACTGGTATTGAACTTTCTAGTGTATATTTTACTGTTAATGAAGTCAGTTTTATGACAGTCTGTGTGTCCTTAAGACAATATAGGTTTTCTCTACTGTGTTCCTCTTTCCTGAGTCTTCCTCACTAAATAGACTGTGAGCATTTCTTCTGCAGTGGTTTTAAGGCAATCCAATGTAGACTTTGTTTAAAAAACGTATTCTTAAGAACCGTTCCAGCCAACCCGATTTCCCAATTTCAAAGCTACCTCTTCATTTTTAAGTATTAGCTACGGTAGCACCTCAGTTCCAGGTACCATGTTCTGCCCCATACCTCAGAGTTTTCTTGGCTGCTGTAACAAAGTATCAATGCATTACAACTTTATCGCCGCCTTTCTCAAGGCCAGAGAGTCACATGTCTCTGGAAGGCTTCCCATCTCAGCACCTTAGTCACGTTGAGACACTTCCACCGTGTAAGGTAATAATCACAGGGTCTAGAGATTAGGATATAACATGGAGAACCGAAGGGGGCGGGGTTATTCAGCCTGACCCATTTGGAAACTTTATCTGAGTGCCCAGTTTGTTAGGGGGGGTTGATAACGTGGCATGATGGAATCGGAACAGAACACATCTTCCAGTCTTAACTGACACAAGGTTCTCAAAGGTTTTGTATGGCTCCGTATTAATATTACCTAGTGGTACTGCTGATCTGGTCCATCATTAAAGCTTTCTTTCAAATGAAACCAAACCAAAGCATCATGGGTGTCCTAAGGAGATAGGGTGAGGTGTCAGTTGTCTGCAGAGGGGATTATGTATTCAAGGATATCTGATCACATGGGGAGGTAATGGCCCCTTGACTTACTGAGTGTTTGGGTAAATTGGTGAGCTCTGGCTTCAGACCAAAATGTTTAGTCCCTCCAGTTATATTAAATTAATTCTAATGATAATGATACTTTAGTTTATAGTATACATTTTGCTTCCAAATATGATGGATAGTAAGGGTTCAGTAACATTAGTGATTCCCCAGTGTAAGTAAAATATTCTGTTTTCTTCACCACCGTCCACTTTAACACCTACAGCCACTGAAGTCTGACCCTTGTACAGTTAGCTGCTATATTGAGGACTGGGGTTTGTCTTGGTAGCACGACCTACAAGCAGACCATGGCAGGAAACTTCTAGGCTCATAGTCAAAATAGAAAGAAAAAAAAAAAGTACGTATTTTTGACATCCTAGAGTGGATAAAAGAGCAGATGTTTCTAACTTTGTTCTGTGATGACCAGGTCTATATCTCTGGGAACATATTTTTGAAGGCACTCTTGACCCTCCTGATGTGACTGCTCCATGGAGGGAAGGACAGTCGGTTGTAGGAAGAACACATTACAGGTACTCGATGGATAACGTTAACCTTGTATTGTTATGCGATGGTTTATGTAAATACTAGAGGAAAACATACTTTTACAAGTCATTTCCCCTTCAGCTTGCGAAGAATACAGGAATAAATCCTGGGAATCTGTGTTCATAGCTCAAGCTGCATTAAACATTTTCTTAATAAATTGGACATTACAGAATACTTTTGGAGAGAGAGCTGGCAGTGGACTTTAGCGGTAGAGTGCTTGCCTGATATGTGCAAGGTCATTGAGTCAGTTCCCAATACTGAAAAAAAAACAATGAGAAGTCTGTAAAATAAATTTTGGAGTCTTATTTCTGTTTTGATTTTGACGATATGAAAAACTTCATGGTCCAAATCTCGTACACTTGACCGTAAATGAATAAGTAATGTTCTGTGCCTTGGAGGGCTAACATGTAAACAAACATTACTTTTATGATTTTTTTTTCATTAATAGTTATGTGAACCTGGAAATATTCAGGTAGAATTCAACTTTTTTTTTATTACAACATTTTATGTCCTATCTACTATGATTGATTTAATGACATAGTTTTCTATCATTTATATTTGCAAGATTTAGAACGGTTTCTGTTTTGATTTTTAGAGTCTGTAAAACCCATGCACTGTCAAGGCTCTTAAGTATTTTACTTTCTTTTAACTTACCTATCACCGTATGATTTCTTTAATTTTTAAATAGAATTAAGATGGTTTAAATTAGAAAAACCGTAGTTTTGTCATGAAAGTACTGTTTGTATTTGGCTTTTTACTGAAATAGACAGTTGTTTTTACATGTTTATCTCCTGTGACAATTATGTTGTTGTGGCGTGGGCTATCAAGCAGAGATTCTGGTGTTTAGTACGATTCCATTTCTTCTCCAAAGAAGCCAAGAGGGGAAAAGCTGTATTTCATCTTGATTTCCTGTAAATTTTCACTGCTGCTTCCATTATAAATTATAAATGCTTCGCAGTTTTATTGACTTGCCTTTGTTTCCATATCCATGTTCCTGGGGGGAGGGTGCTTCCAAGTGGAAGACAGGTCAGCCTTGGGCATTCTTCATCAGGAGCTGTAAACCCCATTGGTTTTCAAGTCTATGTTTTATTGAATGTTACTAGGTGAGTAGAGAGTGTTTGGATGCAAACCAAACCAAACTCCCTGCCCTCCAGTTCCTTCTCTGTACAGCTCCACCACTCTTCCCTCTGTCTCCATTTTCACATGCATGGACATGCACACTCTCAACTGTCTCTGTCTTTCTATCTGTGTGTGTGTCTAAAAAGCCACCAGTTTTTTTTTTTTTTTTGAACAAAAGGTCTTATAGAAACTTAATTATTAGGCTAGGCTGGGTGGACAGTGAGCACCAGGGATCTGCCTGTTCCTAACACCACATCCACATTTTTACGTTAGTTCAAGAATTGAACTTAGGTCTTTATACTTGCAAGCAAGCAGTTTACCACATAAGCTGTCTCCCTAACCCCTGATTGTATAAATCTCTCCACAGAATCATACTTGGAAGGTATAGATAGGTATTTATACTCATTGGTATAATCTCATTGTAGGTCATATGTATACTCCCAAACTTTAAAGTACTTAGGTTTCACTGTTTGAAAGGAAATGTGTGGCTGGACATGGACCTTTTTGGTAGGAATGCTGTCATAGAATGTGTAACACTTTGGATTCAATTGCTAGTCAAAGAGAGAGAGAGAATATATCTATTATGTGCATAAATTGCTATCTATACAGCAAACATGTCAGTGGACTTAAGTTAATAATAGTTCTACATCATTATATATATTTCCTAAAGATTCCTACAGAGTCATAAATAGCCTCCTTAAGCTTACAATACCTTGGTGTTACCACAGCAATAGAAAAAGGGATTAAAGCAAACACTGCTAACTCCCATCAAGAGTGGCTAAGCCCCAATTTACCTTTCTGAAATTTGTATGCAAGATTTTGTTATCATAAAAAAAAAAGTGCTATTTCCTCTTAGAGAACTTTGTGCTTGAGCGCTGTAACAGATTCTTAAAATACCTTATTAAGCAATGAAAAGTAGTATATAATGGATCCAAAAGTTAATAAGCTTAGGGAACTGCAAGCTGTACACTCAGTGGAATCACATAGGTACTTACTTAATTGAATTCCACAAATACATTGTTTGCACAGTCATTCAGGATTTAAATGATTTCTCTGGCTTCTCTATATTGAAGTATTTAGGATTTACTCTGAAGATGTTTTTCAATTGACCAAGCAATAGAAAATATGTAAAGAAATGTACAAGGACAAATTACCTTTACGAATTCTGCACACGAGCTCTTTAGATACAATTTTTCTTCAGTAAATTGATTTTCAAAGATAACCTTAGTTGACTAAAGCATAGCATTTATTCTGTATATTATACTAAGTCATATATAAGCTTTACTTTACAATGTTAATATATCGTAGGAGAATTCAACAATTTTCATAATTTTATGTTTTAATGCAGTAGCAAGGGGCTAGAACTACAGCTCAGTTAGTAGAAGGCTTTCCTAACGTGCACAGACTCGGGGCTTGGTTCCCAACACGACGTAGACAGTTAGCGATGGCGTATGTTTTTATTCCCAACACTGTGAAGGAGGATCAGCAGTTCAAGGTAAAGTGCGGACATTCATAATTATCTCCCCTGACTAAATGCTCAGACAGTTTTACCCGTTCTCTGTCAGAGCCTTCCCTCATCCTGTGCACTCTGAGGTGATCTTCCCTAGTCCGTGTCCATTCCCACATCTGTGCGTTCCGTCTTTATCACTGCTGTCAGGCACTGCCTCGCTTTCCTTTATTCTCCACCTGCACTCATTCCCACCTTACCCACATCAATACTGTCAAGGCAGTTGTCCCCACTCACTGTTTTAATCTTCCAACAGCTCGTTCCCTTGTACTTTGACTAACAGACTTCAGAATACTTTGGTGGCAGTGATTGGGGCAGCAAATGACAGTCTAATTTCTAAAGCATGTCTATTCCTTTTATGAAAACTATTAAAAATATATTTCAAACAAAGAAATATACTCCCATTTCCTAACTACTCATGCTTAACATATTTTAGCTGCCATGAATTCTTTATATTTAACTCTCCACTTAAAAGAATGGCTTCCAATACAAAAAGGCCTTTCTTTGTTTCCTACACCTTCTATTCATCATTCCTCAAAGAGAATTGCTCTTACGAATTCGGTGTATACTCTTCCTCAATTTTTTTTATTTCTACTAATAGAAGGTAGATAAGTATTTTTTCAATGTGTACTTTTATATTTATATAAAGTCATATTTTAAGGACTGGCAAGATGAGTAAAAAGTGGTTGCTCCCAAGTCAGGCACCTGAATTCAACCTCAAGACCTTCAGGTTGGAAGGGAAGAACCAATCCCTGCAAAGCATCCTCTGGCCTCCATACACACAGTTGGTATGCATACATGCGTGCACACATGGGCACACAAACATGCATACAAGTCCTTTTAATTATATGATGTTAAGAGTCTCCTGAAGCTTGATGCGTTCCTTTATGTTGTTTTTGATGCCTTGCCTTCAGTGAGGAAATGAGAGTCCCAGGTATTCCTTTCTAATAAGCTAGTTGAATTTCTACTCCCAAAGCTTTCCATTAGTCTATAGGCCTGTCTCAGTCTTACTAAGAAGAACTTGCATTATACAAATTGCATTTCTAAAGAAAATATTAGAGAAATCTTACTCTGGATTTTATTTAAAGTTACTGAAATTTTTCTTTGTTCAGTTTTATTTCTCCCTGTGGTGTGTTATTTTCTACAGCTTCCTCACTGGCCCAGCTGTAGTCCCTGGATACTTCTCCATAGATGTGGACAATGTGGTTCTTGTTTTAAATGGAAGAGAGAAAGCAAAGATTGTCCATGCCACCCAGTGGTTAATTTATGCACAGAATTTAATGCAAACCCAAAAACTGCAGCGTCTGGCTGTGGTCTTGCTTGGAAATGAACACTGTGAAAATGACTGGATCATGCAGTTCCTCAGAAGAAATGGAGGCTTTGTGGACCTGCTTTTCCTAACATACGACAGCCCCTGGATTAATGGTGCAGACGTTCTCCAGTGGCCTTTAGGTGTAGCGACGTAAGTACAACATAAGATAATGCATCCCTAGACTCTAATCTTCTGAACCAGGAAGATGGAGCTTTTAAATGGTGATGAACTCACAGATGATGAGGCTGGGGGCAGTCTTTCCTACAGTCAAAGAGAACATGGCCTCATGCCTCAGTGACAGCAGTGACTGGTTTGTTGTTGCTGCTGTTATTGTTGCTGTTATTGCTGCTGCTGTTGGGTTTTACCCTCTGCTGAGAACTGATAAGTACTTTTTGTTGTTTTTTGTTTTAAAATGGATATAGGATAAAATTTTTAGCTTATTAGTATCCTAAAGAGATATTTAACAGAGAGTGAACAAGTGCCATAACTTCTAGTGAAAACAAATACTATTGCGGCAGTATGTTTATATAAAGTATATACTTACCCTTAGGTTTGTAACGGGCTGATTGATGTACATCCTACCTGTTGTAACAGCAAATGTTAATTAAGTGATACTTTAGGGTCCTCAATATGTAATCCTCCAGCTTTAAAAAAATGGAAAACATGTTTTAAGTTTTCTATAGATAGATTTTTAAACTTCCAGATAGGCTCTGACTAATATGTAAGCTTTTTGAGGGTGGGAATTTTCTTCCCTGCTTTAAAATAGTTCATGAAAGGCTATAGAGATGGCCCAGCAGTTAAGAACACTTGATGCACTTACAGGGAACTTGGGTTCAGTTCCCAGCACCCATATGGTGTGGCTCACAGCCATATGTGACTATAGTTCCAAGGGTTCTGACACCCTTTTCTGAACTCTCTGGGCATATGGCTGTACATGGAGATAAGCAGGCATACAAATACACACATCAATGAAAAATAAATTTCAAAAGAGTGTTTATCCACCGTAGGTACTCAATTATTTGTTGAATAACTGGATCATCTCACTGATAGAATTGAGTCAGATATGAATTATTATGTCACTGTTTACCGTGCTTTTTTTTTTTTTTCTATTTAGCTACACAGATGTCACTAGAGAAATGGCACACATTCCCTCACCTACATGCACAACATTCCAGCTGAACAAGTTTGGGCTAGGACCAGTCTTCAGTTTTCAAATACTGTTTAATCACATTCACCCTTACAACCTTCAGAAGCATCTATTCCTTGAGAAGAGCCTATATTTGTCGAAATACTTTCAGTTTTGCCAAACTGTATGACACACGTATTCATGTAGGTAGAAGAAATAGAAGATAGAATTACAGCGATTCTGGTATTGCCAGATTTGTCCTGTTCCATTGAGAAGACATTTGGTAACATGTCTATTTGATGCAAAATGCCATAATGATGTCGTGTAGAGCATAGGTTTCAGGCACATTTTTATTCAAATCATTGCCCAGTGACTATGGAATGCGTCACTTGTAGTCAGCCCTTTGTAGAGTAGCACAGGTTTTATTTGTTATTTGTCTTAGTATATTTGAAATTTTCTTGGAATTAATTTTTCAGAGCTTATGACTATAACAGTACATTTTCTTTTCAATGTGCAAATATGATTGATTATATATGCCTATGTTGTATATTATGTTTGGAAATCATATTTTAAATCTCCTTAATATATATAACCTAACAAGCCAGTCTGTAGGGCAGTCCTACCATGTAGTTATTTATTACTTGTTTTTATAGATATAGGCAGTTTCCTGTGGTTGAACCCAGCTGGTCAATGCTGCATGATGAAAGGCCCTACATATGTAATTTCTTAGGAACTGTCTATGAAAATTCATCAAGACAAGCACTAATGAACATTTTGAAACAAGATGGAAATGATAAACTTTGTTGGGTTTCTACAAGAGAACAGTAAGTTCTGTGTTTGTGTGTCCCAAATCTGAGTGTCACTTTGTATACAACATGGTTTCCAAATGATCCCTGATAACTTCAGCTAAGCTTCTAGATCTAGAAATGTATTTTTTAATTGTAACAGAAATTGCCATCTAGATGGATGTTACTGCTATTAATGAAATTATATTCAATTCATTTACTCAACTTACCAAACAACTATCATATGCCAGAAACCATTTTACTCATGATAATGTCAACAGTTGGGGGCAGAGATGCAGGACGGAGGCTGTGCTCTCATTGCACTGAAGTGTTTGTTGCAGGAGGAGACAGTAAAACATAGTGTGTGCCAGATGATAATACCATGCAAGAAAAGAGTTAAGCAGAAGAATGCCATGCAGACTCTGGGTAGACAGGCCTGAAGAGGGTACAGGAGTCAGCAGTGTCCATGCAGAGGGAGGAGCAAAGTCAAAGGTCATAAGGCACGAGAGGATGGTGTAAGTGAATGGATGAGGGTGGTGTAGATGAAGAAGGAGGAATAGTAGGTTCTTGTTGCAACTTCTAGAATTACAGAATCATGTACCCAGTTTAATGGACAGATGGTGATCAATACTAGATCTTAGTTCTACCGCCTAGGCTATATCCACATCCGAAAATCTTAAAAAGTTTTAAGAAATGTATTTGGTCCAACATTTTCAACGTCTCTCTTATTTATCATCTCTATAATGTGTTCACTATATTGATAATTGGCATTAAAAGATTTCCTTCAAAAAAAAAAAAGATTCCATAGAAAGTAAAACCCTACATGGATTTCTTTGTTTGTTTAACTTTCTAGGTGGCAGCCTCAGGAGACCAATGAAAGCCTTAAGAATTACCAAGATGCTTTGCTTCACAGTGACCTCACGCTGTGCCCTGTAGGAGTGAACACAGAGTGTTACAGGATCTATGAGGCCTGCTCCCTTGGCTCGGTTCCCGTGGTAGAAGACGTGATGACAGCTGGCCACTGTGGAAACACGTCCAGTCAGCACAGTGCTCCTCTGCAGTTACTCAAGGCCATGGGGGCCCCCTTCATCTTCGTCAAGAACTGGAAGGAGCTTCCTGCTATTTTAGAAAAGGAGAAGACTATAATCTTACAAGAAAAGGTTCAAAGAAGAAAAGTGTTACTTCAGTGGTACCAACACTTCAAAACAGAACTAAAGTGGAAATTTACTAAAACTTTAGAAAGTTCATTTTTTATGAATAATAAAGGTTAATCATATCTAGTACTGTGTATTCATAAGTGTGACTTTGTATAGTGCTTGCTAAGCTGCTTCCATCAGCCTTGTCACGTAACAGACCAAATGCTTTCCTTTTTGGCTACTACTATGTGCAAGGTACAAGAGACAAGTGACGGTAATATTTTTCTAAGCTTGAGCTGGCAGGGTGGTTGAGTGGTTAAAGGTGCTTGCTGCCAAGCCTGATGACCTAAGTTCAGTCCCCCAAAACCACATAGTAGTAAAAGGAGAGAAGTGAGTCTCACAGACTGTCTTGTGACCTCCCCACCAGCATGCACACAGAAACACACACACCAGATAAGTAAATGAATAAGTAACTTACTCAGATTCAGTTCTACTAAATGAATAAGACAACATTTACTAACTTTTCTCATTGATTTTAACCCACGTAGGAACTGGAGCACTGGCTCAGTGGTTAAAAGTGCTTCCTGCTCTTGCATATAACCTGAGTTCAGTACCCAGCATGTATGTCAGGCGCTCAACCACCTGTAATTATTTCTCTCTAGGTCCTGACACATTCTTCTGTCCTCCATGGACATAGGCACACAAGCGCACATAACACGTGACATAAAAGTAAGAACTAACTGGTAGAGTACTATTTACTAGGGTTGACATTTGGATGTGGGCATAAGTATAGACGCTGATCGATGGCTGCAAAATTTACCATCTGTATTTTACAACATGGTCATTGTTATAATCATGCAATTGGAAAGTGCCTGCATAGATGCTATGTGTTCTCACAAAATGGACTAACTCTGATGTCTTTATATGCTAATTAGCTAGCTAAGACCAGTTCACAATATATACATTCTGAAAACACATTCACTTTTATCTGCCAATGTTAAAAATAATAAATCATTCTAGGGAAGTGACATTATAGATCTAAAGACTGGTAATTGCAGTCAGAAAAACAGATTAACAACTGCAAATTCCATGAGAATTTTTCACAAGCCAACTGGTCATGCTGTGTCTTAGTTGTAGTTCAATATGAAAGGTATTTGCTCCCTTGACACTGGGACAAAACACTTGGCAGAAACAAGGGGGGGAAGGTTTCTTCAGTGTACCAAAGTCTAATAGAGGACTAATATCCAAAATATGTAAAGAACTCAAGAGGGAGCTGAGGTGACAGAGATGGTGGCTGTTGCTTTGCAGGCCGCAGTCCCGGTTTTGGCCCATGCTGCACCATGGTGAAGCTCGCAGAGCTGCTGGTGTTGCTGGCCAGGGCCTTGGGCTACTTCATCAGCATCAGTGCACATCCTGAGGAGTGCTTCTTCAAGCAGGTCACCCGAGGCACCAAGATGGGCCTCATCTTCAAAGTGGCAGAGGGCAGCTTCCTGGACATCGACGTGGAGATCACAGGACCAGATAATAAAGGAATCTATAAAGGAGACCAATAGTCCAGCAGGAAGTCCACACTCTCAGCCCACATGGATAGTACAGACGAGTTCTGCATAGGATGTCCGCTATGACTCCAAAGATAGTAATGTTCACCGTTGACATTAGAGAGGATCCCAAAGGACAAGACATGGAGACAGAAGCTCATCAGAACAAGCTAGAAGTGCTTAAGGAGTTGGCAGTGGCAATGACTGCCATTAAGCACAAACAGGAGTACAAAGAAGTCCAGGAGAGAATACACAGAGCCATCAACAACAACACAAACAGCAGGGTGGTCCTTCGGTCCTTCTTGGAAGCTCTTGTTCTAGTTGCCATGACATTGGGACAGATCTATTGCCTGAAGAGATTTTTTTTAAAATCCAAAGGGTTGTTTAAAAGGCCTTTTCCTGTTGATCCCAAATCCATGATTTACTCACTTTGCCAAAGACCTTGGTCATAATAATATCATTAGTTTATACATTTTTATTTTCTGAGCGTACATGACTTACATTTCTTTGTGATTAGTAGGTACTGGGGAAAACCTGTTTAGGAAAGTTAGAGTGAATATTTGACATTTGATTGGCCTAGAATTCTTACTTGAATATCACCCCATCCAAGAATCCAGAGGCTGTCAATGCTGTATGGGACTATGGTCTTTATAATGTTTTTACCTTTGGTTTTCATAGTAAAATGCAGGTTATTCAGGAAGTAGCCCACAGCCTGACAATACCTGTTAGCTGACTGCATTCTAGGAGTCTCTTGGCTGTGGTCCATCATCAGTCCAGTCGCTCATTTTGTTGGGTTATTCCAGCAACAGCCATCTGAATCTGGACCCTTGTGGCCCTGCCTTGAGGCAGAGAGACCTGACAGGGCATGTCACCAGGGTGAGCATTCATACTGTCTCCTGAGTTTGATTTACAGACTCATCGCAACACTTCCCTCTAAAGTTTTACACTGAACCTTAGAACTGAATCACCTCTAATTGAATTGACACAAGCAGCCAGTAACTTAGCCATCTGTTGAATCCAGTTTCCCAGGTGTCAGGAACAAGACTGCTGTCTCCTGTGTGCTGCATAGTCTGTCCATTGTTGGCACTTAGGAAGATCATGTTCCTCGTGGAAGCCTGCACTTCTCAAGCCAAAGGGTTAAGCCTCTGGGATTGCTTGCAGTGATAGGCAGCCACTGTTGTCTTTTTAGTCAGTGGCCTTGGGCTGTGGTCTTCAATGTCAGCACTAGGGTTTGTTTGTCTTCTGGGGTCTTTCTTTTTTGGCACATGTCAGTTTTGTTTATATAAAATGAAGAGACTGTCTCTCTGATGATTGATGGGTTTAATGAAAGGCGCTCCATTTTGGGTGTGGGCAGTCCAGGATTATATGGTGATTGATATCTGTTAGTTACCTGGATATTTCATTTTTCTTTTTGGATCTTGCGAGGAGAAAACTACAAGTAACAGGTTTTATAAATTGAATTTAAATTTGCTACAGGTTTTCATGTTCAGGACAAAGAATTTTTCAACTTTCGATGATATCCTTGCAACAGTTTATTGGTAAGGTGACTCGTTTACCATAGGGCAGCTGTTGCATGACAATTGTGTGTGTGTGTGTGTGTGTGTGTGTGTGTGTGTGGTGTGTGGTGTGTGGTGTGTGGTGTGTGGTGTGTGTGTGTGTGTGGTGTGTGTGTGTGGTGTGGTGTGTGTGTGTGTGGTGTGTGGTGTGTGGTGTGTGTGTGTAAACACTTCAGAATTGAATGAAGGGATGTAAATTTAAAATTAATTGTGTATCCAGTATGCCCCAAGTTCAGTAAATAAACAATTCTTTAAAAAAAAATAAAGAACTCAAGAAACTAGATATCAAAAAAATTAAATAAAATCATCCCACTTAAAATGGAGAGCAGATGGAGCTTGGGAGTCTTATGAAAGAGTAGTAAAAAGGATTGAGGGACCAGAAGAGGACAGGGACTCCTCAGAAAGACCAACAGATTCAACTAACCTTGACCCCTGGGGATTCCCAGAGACTGAATGACCAACCAAAGAGCAAGCATGGTCTAGACCTAGGCCCCCTGCACATATGCAGCAGATGTGCTGCTTAGTCTTCATGCAGGTCCCCCAACAACTGGAGCAGGGGCTGTCCTTGAGCCTGTTGCTTGCCTGACTGTGGGTCCCACATCCCCAGATGGACCTCTTGTCTGGCCTCAGTGGGAGAGGGTATGAGTAGTCCTGCAGAAACTTGATGCATAGCGTGTAGGGGCACAACAAGAGGGGCCTCCCCTTCTCAAAAGAGAAGAGGAAGATGAAATGGGTGGAGGACTGGCGTGAGGGGTACTGAGAGGAGGGGAAGGAAGGGCTGATATTGGACTGTAAAATAAATAAATAAATGTAAAAATAATTCTTAAAAATGAAGAGCAGATCTAAACAGAATTTTAAATAGAGGGAACTTAAATGCCTGAGAAACACTTAAAGAAATGCTCAACATCCTTAGCCATCAGGGAAAGGACAATCAAAACTACTTCGAGATTCCGTCTCCCTCCTGTCAGAATGGCTAACATCAATAGCACAAGGGTCAACCCGTGCTGGGAAGGAGGTGGAGCAAGAACACTTTATTGCTGGTGGGATTGCAAACTTGTACAGCCATCATAGAAATTAATACAGTGATTAATCCTTGATCAAGGCCCAGCTGTACATACCATTCCTGGGCAGATACCCAAAGAATGCTCCATCCTTCCACAAGGATACTTGTCCAACCATGCTCATAGAGGCTTTGTTCATAATAGCAAGAAACTGGAAACAGCCTACAAGTCCCTCAACTGAAGAATGCAAAAAGATGATGTGGTAGATTTGCAATCTGAAGTATTACTCAGCTGTTTTAAAAACCATGAAATTTGCAGGCAAATTGATAGAACTAGAAATAGTCACCCTGAGTAAGGTAACCCAGACCCAGAAAGACAAAATTGCCATGGATTCACTTATAAGTGGATATTAGCCATTGAGTAAATGATACCCAAGCTACAATCCATAAACTCAGACAGGTTAAGTAAAAAGGAGGCATCTAGGGGGATACATGGATCTCTCTAAGAGGGAGAAATAAAATAGATTTTTGTGTGTGGACTGGGGGCAAGTGGGAATGGGAGCTGGCAGGTTAAGGGGAAAGATGGGATGGAGGGAGAGAGTGCTGGGGAGACAGCTGGAATTGGGGGTTATCTCAGAGGGGAGGTGTGGAAACCTAGTGCAGTGGATTCTATAAAGGAGATTCTAATGAGGACTCCTAGTAATGGGGGATCCAGAGTCTCAACAGTTGTCTCACACAGCCATGCAAGGCTTCCAGTGCTAGGACTCAGTTGCCTTCAGTTGAGGTGTTGGCCAAGGGGATCCCACAGAAATCCCCAAGCAACCCAGACTGATGCTAAGACCAAAGGTGGCTCTCCAAGCACTGACAGCAGGGTCCCATCGCCTAGGACAACATTCACACAACTCACTGAATATTGAGAACTTGAACTGGTCCCTACATGGAACCTTCACCCCTGGGATCTAGTCTCTGTGGTACAGGAAGTTACTCTGTGGACTACTAAAAGAGAAATGTGAACACCAACCCAGACATCAAACCTTTGACCTACAATCTGTA